AAAAAAAAAACACTCACTTGTTCAAAACTAAAATTGTCCTTTTAGGTTTAACGATTGAAGAATGTTTTCATAAACCTCAAAACCACATATCTTGAAACATATTCACAAGTTCCCTGATAAACTTGATGATAAGAAACATTTAGGCCTTGTTTGGCAATCAGCGGTTAGCGGTTAGCTGTTAGCGGATTGCATTAGCTGTTTTGACTAGCGGATGGTGTTAGGTGTTTTGACTAGCTGATTGTTTTAGCGGTTTCCAAAAGAGTGTTTGGTAAATTAACTATTATTAATCAGCTGTTAACATGTAAAATTACTTATATGGACACCTATTCTTCTATATTCTTGTTTATTTAAAATTATAATTATATAGAAAATAACTGTTACTTATATTTAAAATATTTATAAAACGGCTTAAAATAACATAACACAAATAAGAAATAACAATATATAATTGTGAAGTGAAAAAAGTAATGAAGATTCTAATTTGTCATGATAACAAATATTCAAATAAAAAACATAAAATGTAAAAATTCGCATATCAATTATCAGCCTTTAATACTCTTCCTCTATAAATTTGCACATAATTTATCACTCAATCTTTCTTTTTTATTTTTATTTTTATAGAACACCTAGTTCACGTAATTTCAAATGTCAATGAAGTATTGAAAAAATTGAGTTCATTTATAATCTCAATTTTATTTTTAACCCAATATAATAATGTAATAAAATATAAATCTATTTTCTAAGCTAACTTTAATTTTTTACCCAAATATGCTAGTGTGTTAAAATAATATGAGGTAGAGTTAATGTAGTAGAATTAATTAATGGCAAATATGTCATTTTATATTTTTATCCTAAAAAAGCTATTCGAAAAAGCTTCAATTTGTAGCTTTTTGAAAAACAACTTTTAGATCAAAAAGCTATTTCAAAAAGCTATTAACAAAATATTTTAAAATTGAAGATTTTAAAAGTCAAACAGCTATTTTGCTCAAAAAGCTAATTTGTGGCTGAAACGCATTTAACAAACATGGCCTTAATGTGCTTTCTAGGTGTATTAACATATGCTTCAGATTATATTCCTCAATTAGCTAATATAAGAGCACCCTTACAAGCTAAATAAAAGGAAGATCAAAAATGGTTTTGGACATACTAATTACATGAAGAAAATAAAGAAGAGCTTAACTAGTTTTCCTTTATTATACCTCCCAAAAATTGATGATCAATTAATCATCGAAACAAGTACATCAAAAGCATACTGAGACGGTGTTTTAAAAGCATTATCCGAAGAAAAAGAGTATATTTGTCGATATGGTTCAAGAAGTTATAATTCTGAAAAGAATTATACACAATCAAACTTATTCCAATTGTAACACAATCAAACTTATTCCAAGAAAATGATACAAATTTTCAAGAAAATATGCATTGTTAACTTTACTAGAAAATTGTAACACACAATCAAACTTATTCCAATTTCCGAACATGAATACGTTACGATAAAGATGGGCAAATATGATTTTTTTTTTTTTTTTTTTTAACAACTTTGGCGTAGTTTTCATAAATTTTTAAGTTTTTATGACTATCAACTTATTTTCAATATTATTAGTTAAATTTTATGTAGCACGGCCAAAGTTAGGCTATTCAGTAATTAACAACTATTATCAAACTAAATTATAAAATGAACCCATTCATAAGAACATATAACTAAGTGTTATGTGATTTCGGATTAGACAATTGTTAACAATTAAAAAAGAAATATGTAGTATTAGAAAATAAAAATGAGCTTATGTTTTAATCGATAGCATATATGTTAGAATTTCATAAAGTATACATTATGTTTTGAAAATCATGTAAAATTTGGTGTTAATTGATTGTAATTAATGATACCGGCGATCAGGGTCACCATATTAAATTATTAAAAATGAAACAAAATAATAAAAATATAAAAAATAAAAACCTTCGTGAATAATTGAAAAGGGAAGTGCATATAGTTTGAACTCCTTCAAAATTTAGGGCAATTATGGAACCATTCCGTCGAATATTTTAACTCGTTAGATCATTTATCTTATACAAACTACATGCGTATCCAATTGTTATAACACCCGGCGAAATAGTTTCGTAACGGGACCATAGTATTTCTCCAAAATTTATATATATTCAGAACAACTCACCAAATTCAAAATCTAAATATATTATAAACAAAAATTTATTTAAAAAATATATATATATCCAATCATGAGTCACTAGTTTTTCTTCTTGTACTCGAATTTCTTGGGCCGCCTTCGATCAGCCTTATCCCAGTACCGTTGCTCCTCCTCCTCTTCCTTCTTCTCCTCTCTCACCTCACTCCCACCGGCATCCATCTTCTTATAACAACAAACCCCGCTCGTCGATGCGTGGGCCCCACTCGCCACCCGAGCCCTCCGCCTCTCTTCCTCCTCGTCGGCCTTCGTTTTCTCTTCCAACTGCAGCTGCTTGTTCCTTTCTTCCTCTGCCTCGCGGTGCCGGGCCACAATCGCGAGCGCCTCCGCGTGAACCTCAAAGAGGTTTTCGATCCTCTCGTGGAAAACCTCCACGTGCTGCCTCGGGACTTGGTTGAGCATGTGGGCCCCCCAACACCCGAGCAAATCGACTCTACTTCTTCCGTCCATGCTTTATGTGTGTTTTAGAACTTTTTTTTTTTTTGGAAGGAGAATAAATTGGGATGTGTTGTCTTGTGCATGTTTGTAGTATGTACGTGTATATATATATATATATCCACGGGGAGAGAAAACTAAGTCTAATATGTAAAGGAATGTTGGGGGATTTAGAATTAGGAATATTAGCTTTCCAAAATAAGAGTATTAATTAATTGTTGGTGATGGGTAAATAATATAAGTTTGGGGTGAAAATCGGGTTACATATAGTTTTGGTAATTTAAGCCACGTATCAATTCATGTTTTTATAGGAAACTATTTTATGTTCTCGTACTTTAAACATAAGGAGATGTTACGGTTTCGTTATGGAACCATTCCGTGAGGATTTGTAACCGTTAGATTAAATAACCCTGACGATTACATAATAATCTAACGATATAAATCTCGACGGATTGATTTCGTAACAAAACCCATAACATTTTAACGTCACAAGAAGCGTAAATTCCTCTATCTTATTGCGTTGGTTACAATTGCACACAAATACAAGCCTCGATCGGGCACGTCTCAGGAATTCGGCCCGTTATTAATGGATATTCGAGGTATGAGCCCAACAAAACTATCCGCCCCGGCCCAAATCAGTAATTTCTTTGTTTTTACTCTGCAAACCAAAGTAACTGTCATCAGTCGTCGAGGGAGAGAGATCAAATCAATGGAGACGAAAACCAAAAATGAAGAAACACAACAGCCAAAACGGTTGCTTCGCAGCTCTTCTTCTCTTTCTCTCTTTAGAATTTCTCTCGGCACAAGCCGAAAACCTAGCTCCAATTCATCGCCTGAGAATCACGAATCGTACACAGTCACGTTGCGAGAACCCATTCTTCTCCGACAAAAAAAAAACAGAGTTATATATGGAGAGAGAGCTCTCTAAAATGGCGGCCTCGGGTTTATCCTGTGTGTAATTTCAGTTCTAGGGTTCGGTAGGTTGATTTCTCGATTTTTTTTTTTTTTGGTTTCGTTCCCCGCCCCCCTTTTGGGTTCTAATGCTGCAGATTCTGGAGGAGGATGACGATTGTGATGAGCCTCAATTTTCGACTGGGTCTTTGTCGTGTTTGTTTCCCATTATCCACAGAAACGATGGCCTAAGGAAGAGCCTCTCCTATGATAAGCTTCACCGGAAACCTCTGAGGCTGGGTGTTCTCAAATTGGACGGCTCATCTTTTGGTATGATTCGAGTTTCATTTCTATTTTCTTTTTTGGTTCGTTTGATATTTATGTCTACCTGACTTGATGTTGCCGTGATTGTCTTTGTTGAGTAGCTGGCACTTGTGTAGCCGATGAAATTTTATGCAGTTGGGTGTCGAAATTTGATAAATTATGCTTAAGAATGCTGGGGGAAGTTGATGCATGTATTTAATCTTGGAAGGCATGAACAATTAATGATATGTAAATCTCTCTCTCTCTCTCTCTCTCTCTCTAGAAATTGAGGTGTGGAAGTCGGGGACAGTTCGGGAGCTGAAGAAGGCAGTAGAATCAACTTTTCGCCATTTGCCAAATGAGGGGGCTGGTAAAGTTTCATGGTAATGAGCTTTGCTATTGCAAAACTTTTGTCCAATATTGATGTATATCTGTTGTGTCCAGTGAGGCATCAAGTTTCATGAGTTTCTTGTGAGAGGGGAAAAGGATTCGGCTTGTTATTTGTTGAAAGTTTTATTTCAGTGCCCATCATATGCAACTGAAGATTTGTATTCCTGTTTGAAATTTTAATGCTTTTGCATGGGATTATCATGCATTGTCATAGGACTTAGTTTCACTTTGTGTGGTTAAATGAATAGTAGCAGTGGTCTTGTTGTGATATCTTGATCAGTAATGGTATTCCGCCTCTATGCATTTCTCCGTAGTTTCACGCTTAGGCTTTCATTGTGGCATTGGCATTTTGTTGAAGCATTTAGGTGTGCATGATTTTTAGTTTAGAAGTGGATTTTCCATTTGAACTGCTAGAGTGAACTAAGCTGTAACATCATAGTTCTCTCATAAATTTCACGTCTATTTGGCTGCTAAGCCATGTTTTGGTGAGATTGTGTATAATTTATGGGTAATAGTGGGCAGAATCCAAAAGGCTACAGGATGTTCTGAAACTGTAAAAAATTATATTCGAACCTTATGAAAAATAAGCCTCGTAATGATTCATCTCTGTGATGATGTTTTGTAGTTTTGATTGGTTCATGGTAAAGTTTCCTATTAAGTACAAGAACTTCTGTGCAGGGAACATGTGTGGGGACAGTTTTGTCTTTGTCATGAAGGCCAGAAGTTAGTGACTGACAGTGATTATATCAGCTTGATTGGCATCAAGGATGGTGACCAGGTTGGTCATCGCTTTTGTATTATGCGTGTGGTTGCTTGTGTTGTCCTAATGTGTATTTGAACCAAAAGTAACTTTCAAATTGGTCAACCAACTGAGGAATCGACCCTTTTAGAGAGTGTAGTTGTTTTAGAAGGAAAATGGTGAATCTAACCAGAAGGAAAAATGAATCGATCCTCGTTATTGGAGTTCTAAAATACTTGGGCATCTTAAGATGAACTGATGTAGGTGTGATGTAACTGGTTGGGGATAAAACTAGTTCTCATCTTCAGAGATCTGTACCCATGGAAGAAATAGCCAAGAAGGTTTTAAGAACTTAAAGTGAAACAAGTCTTAGAATATGTCTTGCTGGATTTTGGTTAGAATAGTTGGCAAAACTCGATCATGTTTGCTAAAAAACTTTGCATTTTTAATCCTCAAGAAAGATATTAATCGTAGTCAAACTATAAATGCCATTTTATTAAAAGACGAATAATTTTTCGATTTTATTTTCGTTTTTTTGCATCTTCAGCTGCAGTTTGTGCGTCATGCTTCCACTGCCTACAATTTAGTAAAGATCCACTCGCAGAGAGAGGATCCTGATTCCGATGATGAATCTGGCTTGTAAGTTCCATTCTTGCTTCTCTTATTAAATTTTTGGAGTACTGTTTTGGGCATTATTTTTGTTCCTCAAGGACCTCAACTATGTTCCCTTGTGCTAAAGTGATTTTTTTTATTCCAAGTGGTATTCACCTTACATCTAGCTAGCTTACCCGATTTCATGTTCTTAGCAAGTTTTACCAAGGCTGTTTGAACATGATTTTTGCAGTTCAGGTGGCCCAAAGCAAATAGTCGAGAAAGATGCAGGTCAATGGGTAGAGATTCTGGAAGACAGCCAAGATGATACGGCATGGTCCGATGATGATGATGCCTTTCCAAGTTGCAAGTATAAGCTACACAGACTGTTAAGATGTTGGTTCCCTTATGACAAGTTACCAAAATCCCGCTCAAAATCGAGGACGAGTGGAGCAGTCCTTCGAGATTGTCTCCAACCTCAAAGCCCGGGAATTTAAAGAGTTGCCTACACATTCCCAGCAGTAAACATGGGTCGAGAAGAGAAACTTTCAAGAGAAAGTAAATCTTGGACAAATCACATATATTCGTCTACAATTTGAGCGACGGCCCGCATAGCATAACGTGAAGCTTGTGTACGTACACGTATTGATATAGATGCATTTGTGGCTGTGCTGCTTCATTTTTTTATCGGGTTATCGGCTTTAGATTTCGGTATTGAGGGCTAGAGTAGGGAATTTCCGTCATTGGGTCTACTTGTTGGTTTCTGTCCAGATTTTCTGCATTACAGTTGGTGTGCATTGCACGCGTGATAATTCTTTAAGCCATTTGGTTAGTTATTGAGGCTGATCTGATATTGTATTTATTTCTTGAATTCTGAATTGTTAGACCGAAGATCATTCTAAATGTGCTTATTGACAAAAGACATAGCTTTTGTGTGTAGCTAGAAATTGCTATTTTAATATGTTTTCGGAAGTGAATTGACGAATTTAATTTCACCGTTTTACGACCGATTTTTAAAAATTATATTATTTTTAGGGCTTGATTGTTTATGAAATAATTTGTTCAAATTGAGTTATTTTGGTTAACTATAGTTAATTTTGAAAAATGTGATATGGTTAGTTGTAGTGGAATTTTAAGAATGTATTAAAATAATATTTAAAATAAAATAATTAGAATTGATTTGATGTAAAAGTAAGAGATAAATTATTGAAAATGATTGGAAATGATAGGTAGTTAAAATTATGTGAGTGGATGAATAGTGAATTAAAGTTGATGTGATGTGTAAGAATGATTGGTTTGTATTATTTAATTATATGAATAATATTAAAGATAGTGGGGTTGAGTTAAAGTTGAGTTAGATTTTGAGTTGAAATAAAAGTGAGTAAATTATTTTGTAAACAATCACCCCCTTAGTATTTCCTATTTTTTATTCATTTTGAAGGTTTTCAAGATTTTTTATTATTTTCAAAAAGAATAAAAAAATCTTTAATATTGTCTTTTAAGCTTTATTATCATCCGCGAAAACAAAACTCTAGAAGGGAAGAACAGGGACGCCAGAAGCGCGCCCCAACTCAAATTCTTCCATATCTCATTTTATTAAAAAAAAAAAAATTAGAAAATCATTTTTAGGTTGAAACATAGTGTTTTTTTTACCTGACTGCCCGGTGGATCGACCTGGGACCCAATCGATCCGTTGTCAGAATCGATCATGAATTATTTGAACCGGGCAACAAAGGACCTGGTCAAACTCAATCAAAACTCAGCCGACCCGGACCATAGCCGGGTCAACCTGATTTGACCCGGCCCATATGTGTGTATATATATATATTATTTACTAATTTATTTTTTTCAAAATAAAATTATATATATATGTTTATATGGTAAATAAATGTTTATATGGTAAATATTATCATGAGATACATATTATTAACACTTTAATTTACAAATTTTATACACATAATATTTAATTTTGTTACTTTATATATATTTATATGACAAAAATACTCTCTATATAAGTCTAAAAGTTTTAAAATTAATTATCTGATTCAACAATTGACGCAGTAACCGGTTGAACGGTGACCCGATGACCAGAAGACTGGGTCGATTACTCTGGCCAGTTTTAAAAACTATGGGTTGAAATCATAACCTCATCATATTGTGTGGCACAGAAAGGGATAGCCTTTGCAAGATATTCATTTCCCTTCACCAATCATTTCTGCAGAAATCAAAGAAAAAAAATTGGGGAAATTTTGAGTTACTCAAGCGCCCAATCAAATCTCACAGAGCAGCTGCATAGAGCTTCAGCCATGGCTAACATGATCATGGCCTCTCACAAAACCCTAACCACCCCCTCCATTCCCCCCGTCCCGAAACCCATACTCCGCCGCCAAACCCTCCCAAAAATAGCCCTGCCCAAGTTCCTGAAACCCCACCAGCTCCCCTCCCTCCTCGCCGCTGCCACCACATTCTCACTCGCTCACGCGCCGCCGTCTCTGGCGGCGGATATCGAGAAGGCGGCGCTCTTCGACTTCAACCTCACCCTCCCGATCATCGCCCTGGAGTTCCTGTTCCTCATGTTCGCGCT